CCGGTCACAGATGCTGGCGAAACGTTAGGAACCAAAACTTCCAGAACACGGCCACACAGCCCGGAAGACCCACATCAGCCATCATAATCCAGCTGTGAAAACCTTCAACAATACATATGTAATTTGCACCTTTTGCACACAATGACATCAGGATGAGTTATATCATCATAACTTGCACAGGATGCTCTTGGTGGGATGTAGGTGTATCTCTATGAAAAAGAAATTATTGATTTTGACACTGACAGGGAAGGCTACCGCATATAAACAGAGAGCAAACCTCACTCCCTTCTAGCACTGAAGATATTACCTAGCCAGGTAATGAAACGTCTGCAAGAAAACAACCAAGCTCAGAGAACCCTAAGGACTCCATGTATTTAACTGTTTGGCTCTACTTTATGTTAAATATTTACTGAATTATTTATTCCTCTGAAGGTCTATTTACAGAATTAGCAATCCAGAAGTAGAATGAAGAAGAATGAGGGTCGTCGATAACTAGGGTGTAGGGCAAAGAGGGGTAGATGAGAAACCATGCGTTTCAATGTCATGACGCAAACCACACAGCTTACATACATGCATCTGACATCAGGGTGCAAGTGTGAAAGGCTAAATTTGATGTGACAACACAATGCACATTATGTCATTTTCCCATCATTGATCTTTGGTCTGGATGCCTGTGATGAGGGTCCATGTTAGCTCAACATTAGGAGAAACTAAGAAGATGTTATCCTTGTAACCTATTATTCAGAAAGATAGTGAGTCATCTCTCTGGCATTGGATAAACTATCACATTAAATTTCAATACACTTCAGTACAACAGCACACTATGTTATGTCAACTCAACTACTAACTGGGTTCCTTCAACATGTTTAACTTGGTTTCTAAATTAATCCATTTTCTGACTTTGTTCAATACATTGAGCCATAAACTCAACCAACAAACTAGATTTACATAACATGCTAAAACACACCAAAAACCTAAAGTTTCATCTGACCTAGCTAACACTTGTGTAACTGCAGCTGCCACGTCTTTAACTGACCTGCGTCAGTGTGTTGTACCCAATTGCAACAAATTGTTTTGTTAATCCAGGCATTGTATGGGATTAAGCCTGTTGTGTGAATGCAACCTGTATTTTCTCATCTGAAGAACAAGCAAAGAGGAAGGCTGTGTACCCATTCCCCCAGCAAAAAGTTTGCTCCATTAATCCTAGCCAAATTTTAGTCAAAACCATCAGGACCAAATATTCAGAGAGAGCACTGAAAAAGCAGAGGCTAGCACTCTCCTCTCAGTCAGACAATCAGCTATACTGAACACACTCTTATCATGACTTATCACACACTCTTATCATACAGGCACAGACCCAATTTGCAGATTAGGCTGTCATCCCATGGGGGCATATGTGCATTTCTTTGTATACACCCCCAGTCTTGTATCATAGGGTTACAACTATCTTGAGAAGCACCTTCTTCTGGCCTATTGATCCTCCTCTTTGCAGCCATAATCAGAACAAAAGTGGCTTACACTGATTTTACACAGCCTTGCCTAGTTACTAAGTCCTCGGTCTCAATCCTGATATTAAAGACATACAACTCAATACTAAAACATTCTTGGCTAATGGCTGTCTTATCTCTTTTCTTAATTCTCCTGCCCTGCTCTGAAAGCCATCTGGATGTGTACGCATAGTCACAAATTCTGAGTGATTTATGGAGAGGGGATTCTAATGTCGATAGCCCAATATGCCTTGATGAGGCTCCCTGAGTGACTGCCAATTTTATATCTATCCTTGGATCTATTGGTTTTCTAATTATTTAAGATTTTTGTAGGATGTAATTTTAACTGATTTCAACCATTTTGTAAACCGCCCAGAGTTGTTTCAATGAGATGGGCAGTGACAAATTTGATATATAAATAAATTAATATAAATAAATAAGCAAGCATACAGGAAGCAGGCAAGATGAATATTGGAACTTACCTCCCCATCAAGAAATGAGGCAGTGCTATCAAAAAACACCCCAAACCCATGGCTGCACATCCAAGAGCAATCAGGCGCGGCCTGTGAAGTTTTGCTCCCAAGTAGCTCACAAAGACAATCACCAACAGGTCACCTGTAGAAATAAACTAGGCTAAGTACTGAAAGATTTCTCCATGCCTAGATTTTCATTCTTCCTTTCTAACCATCTGAATATGCTTCTCATGCTGAAGTTCGACACAACTAAACTGAAATAAATATAAAACTTAAATAAACGTATTTATTTATTGCCAACCACTGAATATGTTTATCTATTTGCATACCCATTTCAAAGCTTCCATTGATAACTCCAACCAGCGAGGCAGGAATGTTGAATCGCCTTTCGATCTGGGTCAGCATGCTGTTTATGTAAGCTCCAGTCATGGTCTTGGCCAGATAGGCAAAATATAATGCTACCAAAAATATCTAGAAGGAAATGAGGAAAATCTGTTCAATAAGCAATAGGGAATTAATCACATCAAATTCACCGGCAGGGAGTAGTGGGTATGGTGTATCTGCTGGTCTATGACCGAAATAAAATTGATTGAGATTGAGATTGGGTAAGGTGTTGGGCTGGAACCAGGATGATATAAGTTCAGGTCCCCACTCAACTATGGATTTCATTGAATAACTTTAGGCCAGGCACAATCGCTGTGAACCTTAAATGAGGAACAATTCCATGTAGGCTCTGGCCATGAGCTCTTTAAGGAAAGACTGGTCATAAAAGTAATAAATAAATACATCATGCAGGATACCTTAAAGATCATATAGTTCAACTGCTCAGTGTGGGATTTACAGTACAAGGATTCTGAAGCTTGAGCATCCCTGAGAAACAGCATCCTTTTTATTAAATATCTCCATTGAAAGAGCATCAACTACCTCCATAGAAAGTTTGTTCCATCACAGAACAGATCTTAGGCCCAGTTCAAACATGTTGGCTGCCATGTAGTTTGGTTTGGGCTCAATGCATTGTGTGAACTTGGCCAAGGGTGGTTTATTCAGTAGGCAAACCATGGCTTAGGAACATTTCTAGTATTTGCATGTGTATGCGTTGGCAGTGATGTCCTTTTTCCCTAAATGGCCCAGTTTCCTTTTCTGACAGCAAGCCAGAGTGTATATAGAGTATGCAATTGCTCCTTTCTTCTGGCTTTTCCAAATGGCATTTCTGCTCCCTTACATAACTGTAAGAACAGGCCTGGCTCTACCTGTTGCAAAGGGGGTCACAAAGGTATCAGATTTAACCTCAAATGGTTAGCCTTTAAAAGGCCAGAGTAATTTAATGCAATTTAGCCTTAATCTCATTTGTTCTGCTTGCAGACTATGAGAACTATCTGCAAAATTAGTGGGCCTTTAATTCTTCTCTAACAAAGAGTTATTGATGCAATCTGGCACACCAACATTCTTAAGAATTTTGAAAATGAACTTTTTGTGTAAATTTTGTCCAAATGGGTAGAGCTTATAATTGTTGTTCTAACCAAAGAGGAAAGGGTGTTTGTACTTTTTAATTTTATTTTAGTCCTGCTTAGATACTCAACAACAGCCACCTCTTTATTTTGGTCACAGACCAGCCTAAGATAAAATTATAAAGACACAAGAATTGCAGCCATATCAACTATCTAAGACTTAGTATTACTAGCATATTCCTGTAAAACATTAAATGTTTAAGTTTTGTGAATAAAGTTGTAATGCTAATGTAAAGTACTAAGATACCATATAAAAATTCATAATAAGAGCTAATAAACGACATGTCTAAAATTTAACCCAGGATCCAGGGTCAATCTGGCACTAACTTATGAAATGTCCAAGCCTATGTAATATTGTTTCAAAATCTGCAGAGTTTCCTCATTCTTATTCTTAATCAGTTTCTGGATAATTTTATAAACTGTACCACAAAAGAGATCAGCTTTGCCTGTTGTTGTGAGATTACAGGTAGTCCTCGCTTAATGAACTTCCCTGTTTAGCAACAGTTTGAAGTTGAAGTCCTCACACTTATGACTGTTGCAGCATCTCCATGGTCACATGGTTGAGATTCAGGAACTTCACAACTGGCAGACATTTTGATTGTCTCAGCATCCCGTGGTTACATTATCACCATTTGCACACTTCATAACCACCTTCTGACAAGCAGAGTCAATGAAGAAGCTGACAGTAAAACCACAAGTCATAGTCATGTGATGTCTTGCTTAATGACTGCAGCAGAAGTGAGACTGTAAGCCCTTTGTGGTCATGTGATGTCTCACTTAACAATTGTGTGGCTTAGCAATGGAGTTGCCAGTCCCAATTGTAGTCATTAAGCGAGGACTACCTGTGTAATTTATCAATAGCATTTGCAAATTTGTCTGATCAGCATGCTGTGCCAGTCTTAACCATACTGGGGCAATCAGAGTATGATGTTTATCTATCTATAGCGGATACTGAAGAAAGGCATGCCCATCAGCGAAATTTGCACAACCCTACAAGGGAAGGGTGTTCCATATATATGGGATCTTCTATTCCACCTTCAGACTGCCATTCAAGTACATAAGTGTAAAAAAAAAAAAAAGGCACATGAGGTCAAATTGTATGAAATTTGCTATGGCACTCTAATTCTCTGAAAACCATAGAGTACACACCTACCCTAGCTAGACTAAACTGATGCTCAATGTCCAGAATTCATTGCTGCAACGTGATTCAAGCATTTGCATATCCCAAAGATTATAGGTTAATTGGAGGGAACTCTTGGAATCCTAACTTCTAATTTCTGGCTTTGCAGAATAGTCAGAAAACCTAGCTTAGCCTAAAATGTGGTTAGTTAATTTGTATCCTGTAAGTTCTTCTGTGAACACTGCCCAATGTGTGCTAGAGAATTACCTGTAATTGTAATATCTTGGCAGATAAGATAGCCTTCCCAACCCTATGTCTTTGCCAAATGTGCTGAGATTAAAACTCCAATTTCACCCAAAAGAGAATCCTCAGAATTGTCTCAAAACATCTGGAGGACAGTTGGGGAACATTTAATCTAAGCTTCAGAGGGACTATTTAAAAAAGAACTGCATATTCTTGTTCTTTGTGTATGTATGTGTGTATGAATAGGTAGGTAGACAGATTATACAGAGAAGTATATAGATAAATGTAAATATCTATAAGTTATGTATAGCTCTATATTGATAAGTAAATATAAATTTATAAATATTTATAAACATTCCATTAACAGAACAACCCTGAATTACAATTAATGGAACATCACTGATTTCAAAACAGAGAAAGTGTTGAGCATTGTCAGTTATACGAAGAGTCTGCCTGAAGGAGAGAAGTTTTTGGATAAAGACTGGCAGAAAAAGATCTCTAGGGGGAAAAGACAGCAAGTTAGGAAAATGAGACATAAGAAAGATAATTTAGCATACGATGACTCTAGAAAAGACATCATAGTTTTATATATTATTGGAATCACTAACAGCGGTGATTTATTCATCATCCCTCTTAAAATATGGCAGAGTTTTCAGAAATGATGTCAGTATTTGATGTCACCCTTGGTATTCAGACTCAGGCACACTTCTGTCCTTTAAATAGATCTTCCAACACACCGGGAATCTGTCAATACAATATCAGCAGTGGCAGGAAAATCTAATCTCAGACAAGATGTGGCAATATGCACACCCATTCCCTACTCATTGCTTTATGATTTGCACACATCTGTAGTGCTTTTTGACCAAATTATGCCGCCTACGCCAGGAAAACCTTACCTCTTTTTTTCGATATTGGCCGTTTATTATTTATTTTATTATTTATTGTGAATGCTTTTACACTACATTAATGGTTTGACTCTAAACATGCTCTGAAGTTGCACAAAAGAAATAATATTTTATGAAAATGAACTAATCTAGCTGACATGACACAGGCACTCACCTTCCTGTGCTTTATGTAATCCTACATATATTTTTTAGTTCTCATGAATTAAACTGCCTATCAGTCATGCCTTGCTCTATTTATTTTCACAGCTTTTTTTAAAACAGTTTTTGTTCACCAGCTTTCTTCCACTGTTACATGTGTATATGCTTATCACACAACTGCCTTTTTGGATAAGCAAAGTTATGCAAAGTACTGGAAAGAGGTAAGAAGGGGTGAGCAGAAGAAATTAAGCAGGTGATAAAAGAAAATCAAATTAAATCTAGTTTACATCAATACCAGTTGCTATCCCACTCCATACTTTCCTACCTCCTTACTTCAACCACATCCATCCACCACTTCATTCATCGTCTTCTGTTCTTTAAACTTCTCAGCTCTCTTTCTGAGGATCTCATCAGCTCCGTCCAGCCATTGCTTTCTTGCTTTCTCTGTCTTCCCTTTTCTCTCAGCCCACTTGCTTTTCCTTCCTATGTTGGTTTGTTTTGCAGTTTGATCCTCATTCATTCTCTCTATAGGGCTACCTCAACATCTTCTGTAGCGGCCCCTCACTTTTATACTCCTTCATCCATTCATTCAAGATTCTGCCCATGTAGCCTTACAATAAAGTCGAATTAGCTCATCTGATCGTGTTTCCTCTCTGGTTTGCCTTACGAGGCTGGCATCAGTCTTGCAAGTCTGAAAGTACAATTCTCCCCTCATCTCCTTTACAGCCCAAGAAACCAGGGAGGGTCCCTTCTGAGCCTCTTGCCCCATCCACTATCCAGCTGCAGGCTATGCCCTCTCTTATCTGACCATTCCCTTGGCAGCATCTCTTCACCCAGTCTCCCAAGGTCTTTCCCACATGCCATTATACTTTGACATCAAACACACACACACACACACACACACACCAGTTTGCCCAAGGGGCTCTGTAGAACAGAAGAGGATAGGTCTCTGCCCCAAGAAGCTTAGAGTTTAAACTGTTTGGTTAAAAAAAAAAAAAAGATGGGGGAGAGTCAGGGGTAAAGGGGTCAATCTAACTTTTCATGTGGGACTTTTGGCATAAAACCAGTCTTGTGTATATTTTAACAGATGTTCAGATTCTCCCAGGCATGGGATCAGTAGGTTAGTCAAGCCTGTGAAGTATTATTCATTTATTGTCAACGAGTTACCCTTGTTTGCCCTTTTGTTCTCATGTTTTTGCTTTTGTTATGTTCCTCTCTCTCTCTCTCTCTCTTTCTCTTTTTAATTGTTATATTGATGTTTTTAACCATGTTCACTGCCCAGAGTTGCCTTGGTGAGATGGGCAGCTGTATAAATTTAAATAAATAAATAAAACATCTCTGTGTACTACATCTTGGACAAATGTTCTCCCAAGTTCTACACCCTTTCTCTATAAGAATCCCATTAAAGTTAATCTAACCTGGTCCTGAATGGATATGTATAGAATTCAACAGGGGGGTGGATGGAGGGCAGGAAACTATCATCTCTGTACAATACAGAATAGAATATTCCTAAAATCTGTTTTTTCACTGTGTCATTATCTTTCCAAAACAGCCTGGTTCTGTTTTTGTTTTTAAAAAAGCATTTCCATGAACTCTGCTGTGTCAGCTCAGCTTTTATACCCACAGGTTCCTAAAGTTAGTCTCAGACAGAGCTGGGAAAGATTTCTGTCTAAATCCCTGAAACTCTGCAATGTGTAATTACTACTAACCATTTCGACTGTGGAATTATGTACTTAGCGGTTTGGGCCTCCTCTTTGCTGAATGGGTCCAATCACAGTACAGACCAGCATTTCTCAACCTTGCCGACTAAGAGGTGTAGACTTCAACTCCCAGAATCCCCCAGTTAGCTGTTTAATTCAGGGATACATTAATCTGCTTTCCAGAGTAAAGGTCCAGTTTAAAGTCCATTGGCACCAGCAATAACATCTTAGCTCACAAAGCGGTTGCTTATATAATGGATAAAGCAAAGGGATTGACTAACTGTAACTTTCAGTCCTTCATTTTTTGCCCTGTTGCAACAGCACATTACAACCGAATCACAGGAGGAGGTGCCAGAATTTGAGAGAAGCAATAGGTTAGACTCAATGTACTGTATAAAACATCCCCTTCCAACTTTACATCTGGGTTCACACAAGGTACTAAGCCGAAACTTAAGAGTAAGAGATCACAGTTACTACATTTAAATCACACGGGATGCCCAAACAAATAAACCATAATATGCCTTCACCTGTTGGCCACATCACCAAAAGATAGTGAACCACACTGAACCACAAATCATCCAACCTCAAGCGTAATGTGCTTGCAAATTCACCCTGCGAATGTGATTCACTCCATGATGGAACATACTCACATTCCTAGTGGTTGGTTTTTAGTTATGAGCAAATGGCCCTGTAGAACATCTTTTCTTGCCATTCAGACGTCCTCAAGCAATCTGTGTACAAGCATATATATCAAATAAGTTATACATTGACATGGGAATTATAAGATCCTGATACCTTCAGTTTGGACATGAAACAGGTTGATGCTAGCTTCTTAGGGCCTTTCATTTCACTTTCTGGATTGGTTGTGGTGGCTTCTTTGTGGTTATTTGCCTCAGTCTTGCTGACCTTCTAGAAGAAGGGACAGAGAAACAAACATGGATGACATAATCAAACTTTCAAAACTAGACAGAGAGGTGTAGAGAGTATTTGGGGGAGGACAGCTGAAGATGCCCCTAAATCCAGATGGAAGTGTTAAGATGCAGGTCTTAAATTTCCATTTCTGTACATGAGTGTTACTGAAATTGTTGGCTCTAAGTATTGAAATACAGATAGAACTAGATTCTTAGGCCCCTTTGAAGTGCATAAAACATGGAGAGACTGTTGGTTTAAATCCAAACATTATAAATGCAGATAGGGATAGATATTTCATTTACTGAAATTTAGATCCTGATTCAAGCTCTATACGGCCCTTGGAAAACAAATTTCAGCGTCATATACAAGTCTACAGCAGTTTTTTCAACTCCAGTGTAGTGTAATATAGCTTTATTGATTAGTCAATTGACCATATCAAGAAACAATAGGTGTCAGCAGCAATAACGTAGAATAAAATAAGGTAAAATGAAGTAAGATAAGATAAAATAGAGGAAGATAAAAGATAAAAGAGTGAGATAAAATAGGTTAGGATAAAAATAGAATATTCTATAAAAATAGAAGCATAAGTTGAGTACTAAAATACAAAACGCCGTGTGTTTAAAGGAATGCATCACCTTTACATGCTACCCCAATGTGTTCCATAAAATGTGTTCTCAGCTGAACAGCCCTGACTATAAACTTAGTAGTTCTGAAGATTATATATATGTTTGTACCCTAAAGGAAATTAGATACTCCAGTGTGATACAGAGAGCCTACAAGCCATTTTCAGTTCACCTGATTTCTCCATCTACCCACTGGGCCACAATGGAATGGGCTCACTCCATATCAGAAGAAGTAAAAAGTGATCGCTACCTCTCTAGATAATGAAAAGTCCACAAAGCAATTACTCTTGATTTCTTTTGTGCAAAGAAAACAACCCTATGCAGACGATTAAATACTGAGCCACAAGATTTTGACCAAGAGATCAACAGCCACGGAGGTTCTATACCATACATTACCCAGCCTTGCTATGTGTCCTAAAATCCAGCCCAACCATGAGGAAGGGAAGTATTTTCTAATCTTGCTCTAGTATAAAGGAAGCAAGGCAATATGGAATCAGGAAGCTAGACTTTTTGAGGATTAGCACATCTTTCAATCGTTCTTCTCTATCTATAGACAGAGACCCTCAGCCAGTAGCAACAGTGGCCATGCTTGGAAGCCAACCAAGGCTAGGCCTGGTTGATATGTGGATGGGAGAATATGTGGAAATCCCACATCTGTAGACTAGACTGAGAAGTGAGAAATACATCCTAGAAGAAAACTCTCCATTTGTTGGGGATGGGAGAGATCTCAAACAGCTTACTCAATCATCACAGTAAGGTGACAATATCCTGGAGAACTCCTAAGGAGCAGAAGAACAGAAAACAGTAAGTGACAGTAAAATAGCCTGGAATATCTTGGAAGATGGCAGCTTGACTAACTGGAAGTCTGAGCAGGCATATCCTGCACTGCAAAATGTTGTTGCAGACCTCAGTCCAAATACTTGATCACACTTGGGCAGGTTCAGGAGCTCTAATGGAGCAATTGGGCAAAGAAAAAAGCTGGATTGAATGGGTGAATTCATTGGCAAAAGGGTAGCTGGATGTTCTCAGCTGGAATAACAACTTCTTATTTCTTTCTAGTATACAATCAGTAACTATTTACTCCTACAGAGAAAAACTCAGATGTTCCACCTGGACCATAACAGCTAGCGCTGGGAAAATAAATCTATCCTCCATCTCTATTTGTCAATGAATTTTTGCAACAGTGTACACTCTGTCTCCCTCCTTCTCCCACTCCCCCACTGCTTGAACCTGGGTTCAAGTCCACCCAAGCTACAGAACTCCCTCTGGGCTTGTTGTGTTTTCTCAGCCCAGCCTACCTCACAGGGTGGCTGTTGCTGGGAAAAATCGAACGGATTGCTATGTACATTGTCTTGAATGAAAGACAGGATGCAAGATCTAATGCACAAATCAGTGAATCAAATCAGTGAATCAACCTATGCATTTGTTTATTTACAGGATTTATTTACCCTGCCCCAATCACCAGGCACAAGGCAGTATTAAAAAAGGCAAAAACTAAGCCATGCAGTTAATCCCCACCATCACTGAATAAAACAACCCTTGCAAAAACATACAAAGGAGCCTTTATAGAATTCTTTTCAAATTGGACATCATCAGTTGGATGGATCAGCACCCACCGTGATGCTATCCTTCATCTTGATGACAGTTTCCATTTCAGACCAGGATTAGGCTATAGGTCATCTGTATCTGTGAAATGTCAGAAACAAGGGAACCGGGCCCACCTTTGGGTGAAGGGGTTCCAGACCTGCATTTGGGTCATGCCCCCTCATACATAAACCTTCCTTATACACCAAGCAATTTGGAAACTGCATCAAAGCACGTCTATAAAAAGTGTCAGTTTTTTTCCTTAAATTTCTGCTCATGAAATTGAGGCTGTTCTGTTCAAGGCTGCTCCCTGGGATCCTTTGCATCATGCTATTGTTTTAAATACTTGACCCATTCGTTCAAAGAAAGCACACGAAAAGACCAGCTATGCATAATCTAGGATCTGACAGCATGCATTTCACTGCCTGCAAGTTGCCCTAAGATCAAGAATATTAACTTTCTGCTTTTTTTTTTAATTAAACACATTTCAGTTTCTAGGCTTTATGGTTGATATACTGTATTTCTCTTCATCCTACAAAATTCCTGAGTAAGTATTCATTTTTAATATTTCTGCCATATGGATTTTCTCTCCATAAAATAATTCTCCTCTTTTTCCTCCCTTGAAAATCTACCTACCTCTACTGTCATCCATACCCTGGTGATCCTGTTCATGGCAAATCAGTGGGTCTCTTTCTCAAATTTAATACACCTTGGAATTTCCTCTGGAATAAAAGCAGGACTGGAGTATTTTTAAAAAAAAAACTTTTCAGCAGTAAGGAAAACTAGAGCAAAGAGAACAGCTTGAAAGTTGTTTTTTTTTAAGAAGTCTGTGAAACCTTTGTTTTGCTCAACAGTAGATCTTTGACTTGAGCCAAAAGTATAACCCAGAAAACAGATCTAAGACATGGACGTTGGAATTTCCTTTTGACACATCCACAACAAACTGGGCATAATCAATTAGCTGTCTTATCACCCACCTTGATACTCTCATTCATCTTGATGTCAGTTTCCATTTCAGACCAGGATTAATTAGATTCTATGTAGATTCTGTTATCTTTATTTCTTCTTCTTCTTCTTCTTCTTCTTCTTCTTCTTCTTCTTCTTCTTCTTCTTCTTCTTCTTCTTCTTCTTCTTCTTCTTCTTCTTCTTCTTCTTCTTCTTCTTCTTCTTCTTCGCCAAAGACTGTGTCTCTAATCCCCAAACAATTTTAATCCACCCAGGTCTTTTATTACCTTCACGTCTGGCAAGTACATTGCCATTAACCCCTGAAGGGATATTCTCCTGTTCATTAAGGGCAAAAGAAATGACCCTGCAAAATATGTGTTGCTCATAGGATCTTCTATGGAACTCAGGTGTATGCTGTCTTATAGGATGCATCCCTAACTACATTAAAAATAAAGTTCTCCATTGAGCTGAACTCAATTCTTGGTGATTTCATGTACACATCCAGGTAGTTTTCCTGGCAAAAATATGGAAATGGTTTGCCAATCTTCTGCCTTCTGAAATGTTTTTCCAACTTCCCAGTCTAGCCTACAGCCTTGGAATTCCACAGACAGTCTCCTGTCCAAGTCCAACGCTGCTTAGCTTCCAAGATAAGCTCTGGTCAGCTAGGTGCTATGGATATAAGATTGTAACCTTTATTTATGTATTTAGTACAATCTATGTACCTTTTCAATCTAATTATTGATAGGATTTCATTTAGAGTAAAATGCGAGCAACATAAAAATACAATAGAACATTGAAAAGTAAGGTATGACGGCTCTTTTGAATTAGCTTTTTGGTGCTTTGTTCTTTGTTAGAGTTATTTGTTGCTAGAACTGGCTGCACTGCTCTGTTTTTTAATCTACCAGATAAAGAAATAACAGTCAAATTCATTTGAGCCCAGAACAATTGCCAGTAACAGCTCTTATCTTCCTTTTTAGAGCTAAATAGTGCTTCCTGTTGATTCCAAAGTCATAAGAAGCACCCAAGAATAACACGTTGGGGTTACTTTTCCTTTGGAAGAAAGAGCCCCAGTGACCTATCTACAAGAGTAGCAAAATCCTAGAGATGTTAAGGGGTGTTTTTAAAGGCCAAGTGCTCAAGATCCAGGAGGAATGAAAATCCACGCAGAATATTTGAGCTCATCCTAGCAAGAATTGGAATCTGCAGCCTCTGTTTTTATTGAAGAGGGAGTGTTGCCTCCACAAACACCGGTGCTGTTTGTTTTCCTGCATGAAAAACAAGCATCTTAAGTAGACTAACCCAGCACCTTTCAGATGTGTGGATTACAGCAATCAGAGTATCCAGCCACAATGCCTAACCGGCATTGAAGTAGTTACTTATGTATTACATTTCCATCAGTTCTGCCTTTCATTTATATGGTCCAGGAACTATAAGGCACTCAGCTTTATATTAGCTTGGAAGCAACTCCAGATCCATCCAATTAATGACATCAGTTGGTTGGTGGAATGAAGTCATCTTATTTCTGTCTAAATACTGGTTTATTTCAAACCAGAATAAAACCTGCTTTTTAAAATTTCTGGCTGTATCTTATGAACTTCAAGGTGGCTATTATCCTCTCCCAAATCCTTGCCCCACAGAGTTTCCACATCCTGTTCTTGAAGTCTGTCTATAGGCTTGTTTCTAATGTATGCTCTCACCTCCTGGCACCACAGCAGTATGCATTCATAGCTAGAACCATTGGAAAAAGCATGTGGGTGCAAAAATGTAGGCATACGAACATTTTGCCCTCACAACTCACAAGAGGCTTTAAAAAAGGAATGGAAAATCTGCAGCCAAGAAGCCTCTCCTCATAGCAACTTCTCAGGGTCCCCCTTCCCAATTACTAGGTAAATGTACACATGTACCAAAAATGTAGGCTGGAGGGGGCAGAGCTAGCAACTAATATGATTTGCCTTTCATGTGGAGTGAGGGTTTTTTTGTTGCTCCAGGATTTACAGTCACCCAGATGTCTGGATGAATTTTTTGCATTTTTCTTGGGTCAGCTAGACAGCAAGCTCCAACTGGTTCATGCTGTTCTCCATGCATTCTTGGCATTTTGAAGGTGTGCTGAAGTGAGCACAGTCACAGGTCATCTCCAAACTGCTTTGTACTGGATGGGGAAGTAGAAATGGCACTTTGTGAAAATGCCCACAGTTCCTACTGTTGTCCTTGATGTTTGTTCTTGTATGTTTACATTCTCAAGCCAACAACTAACAAAGTGAAAGATGGTATAGATAGATATGCATAGACCCAGCTTGTGGCTGCACCAAACTGAATTTGAAATCCAAATTGTTTGGAATGGAAGGCTTTTTCCTGACCATGTTTGCTGTGAAGACCATCATTCGGTGTCTGCATTTCCATGGAGAATCCATCTTATCTTCTGTTGGATGTTCAGCCCTGAAGCCCAGTATTACACCAGAGTTGTGATGCCCATCATACCATTGGCAGTCTGTATCAACTCCAACTCTGCTCTTTCACCCTTCTACTTTTCCACCCCAGCCACATCCATTTTTAACATACAGGAAGGACTTCTCCAGTGGTACCTCCAAGGTAGGGGAGCAAGGGGGACAGGCTAACTAAAGCAGCATCGTCCCTTTCCTACATGCATCATGACATCATGTGCATGCCTCAAAGGGGTGAAGCTTGGGGGCTTATTTTAACTGAACCCTTTAAGGAAATTATATTTACAAATGCAAGAAAGAATATGAAAGAGGAATAAAAGAATAAAATACAAATGAATGAACCAGGATTTAAAACTGTCACAGAGGTTTTCACTTTTTAATATACTGTTAATTAGTTGTGAATAGTTAAGTGTACTGTATAAATTTTATCACATTAAAAGATTGACGATTAAACTTGAGCTAGATATGAATATCAAGGACCACGGTTAACGCAGTATAAATACCTGAATAAAATCATACGTTATAATAACTTTAATCCACATTCCTAAAAATCTCTTCCAATTAGGTATCTCATAAAATTGAAATATAAATTCTATGCATAGATAAACCCAAATTTGGGTTGTGGTACCAATCCATGTATTAGATTGTAAGAATGATCTCCATTTTGAGCTGAACTCTGTTTCAGATTTACTTTTAAGTTACCAGGTTATTTGGACATTGAAGCATATGCCACAACTTGGTTAGCCATTGAAGAGATCAAATGATCTTTCCATTAAGAAGCATATATAATATCTTTGCTTTGGTTATCGTGTATAAGGCTAATTCAGTAAACCTTGATGCAATACATGGTGTGGTAAATTTTAATAAGAACATGGTAGGTATAAATGGGAATTCAGCTTTTAAGTTTTGTTTCATTCTAAGGTGAATCATTTTCCAAAACTGTTGAGCTTTATAGAATTGGCACCAAATACAAAAGAATGATCTGACCTGCTTATCACACACCCAGCAAATTTTTGAAAATTTGAATTTTCAGCAATCAAAATGGAAGTGATATACCCATCTTAAACCAATTTTCTCAGGGATACAGTTTAGGCAGGGCTGTCCACAGGGTGTGCTGTAAAAAGTCAAGATGGCAGGTCTACCTGTTGATACACATATCTTGACTTTTTGACCATACCCTGTGGACACCCCTGAGCTAGTGACATGATACCTTGCCACCATGAAAGCAGTGAGATCCTGCAGATGCTGCTGGATGTCTCTGCAAAATAGGTATGGGTGGAAGAGAAGGCACATAAGCATAAACATGTTCCCTGGAGCACCCCACAGGCTGCGCCATTTGCCTCATCAAGCAGAGAGATGAAACAGTTTGCCTCCCTGCGGGGGGCGGGGCGGCCCTCAGGGAGGAGGGTAGAAAAATTCAAGATGTCGGCCACAGCTATGCAATCAAGGCCCCACCCCTTGTTTATGTTTGTCACTCCTGTCTCCCTAAGATGCTCTGCCTAACCCCATGCCTCATCTGGCAGTTCCATTGGTTGGAAGAAGCTTCTGCATATTAGATATTGATTTAGTCCTCTATAGGCACCACCTGATTCCAAATCAACTCTGGGTGGCTCACGTGCACCTAAGCCCCGTTTAGCAACCACAGTTGAGACCAACAATTTGGTTGTTAAGCAAAGTGGTCACTAAGTGAAACCACGACTGTGCTTATGATCTTACTTCAGCTTTCCTTTGCTTTCCAGACCTGCAAAAGTCATAAATGTGAGGATTGGCCATAAAGTTACTTTTTTCATCACCGTTGTAACTGCAAACAGTCACTAAATGAGGCAGTTGCTAAACGAGGACTATCGGTACTAGATTTATGGAGGAGGCTTCAGAGCAAAGCATCATGGACATTTGTTTCATTTCCAGAAGTAGGGAAATCTTTTGCATCATAAAGCAGATTGTACAGCACAAATGTTCATTGGAGCAAGCCCCCCTTCAAGATTTGTACAGCCTTGTTATTTCATGAAGCAATCTTTCGATGCATAATCTTCCCTGTAGCCTTGCACATCTCCCCCACCCCAAAAACAGCTATCAGGAGAGATGAGGCTTTCCAGAAAATGTTGGGCAGCCTGGAGAGGCTTCAAAGTAAGCTAAAGATGTGTAATGGAAAAGAATAGCAGGAACTGCACCTCCACCAATAAATTAAGCTCAAAAACGTCACCAAAGAAATTTGAAAGAAATTCTGAAGCCCACTGAGCCTAAGGTAGAAAACCAGAAATCTTTTTTGCAGCAGAGGAGAACTTTTGAGAAGTTGGAAGGCAGATTACGGGCATTAGTTCAAAGTTATGGATACAGTCCTCTATTATTCCTTATTCTGAAGCTAGCTTTTAAAAATTATTTATTGAACATATTTTTGGAAAGATATTGCTTATAGATTTGTAGTGTTATACAAAAACTACGTAACTATATACCTATATTATAATTGTATAAAAGGCAATAGACATTAAAGAAAAAAAACTTGCCTATTATGATAAAAGGAAAAAAGTCCCCCCATTAAACTACCAATGGAGAAAAAAGAACCACGAGGGAGAAAAAGATTTAAAAACTCTTGAAAACAAAAGAAAATAAATAAAAACAAATTACAACTTAATGATTAAGTAACCTTAAAACAACCATAAAGAAACCCCTAAATTACCCCTAAAAGGAAACCCTTAAATTAAATCTAATGCTAAACTTTAAAAAAGAAAGAAAGCTTATTGAAATTACATAACTTTCTTCAATTTTATAGCTATTCAATTTTTGAACAC